TTGAGGTTGCATGCCAGCTTCAGCAGTGGGCAAATCCCATCCCGCTGCTGTCCTCAGAAAAAGGAAGGCCAGGTCCCAGAAAACTCCAAATGCAAGGGGACCCAGAAGCTCACCCATTTTCTTGTTTGTAAAGAGGGTAAGTCTGCAGAGAGAGTTGGTTTGTCAGAGTTCTCTGTGAGATGATCCTGCCTGGGCAACTGAATATCACAGCTTAGGGGTACCATCTACACCCCAGAGACACCCTTGAAAGCCTTGATTTGTGAAGCTCCTATACCCAGGCCCCCAGCTAATGGCACTACCTCGAGAATAGAAGATAACATGGAGACCAAGCTCAGGACAAGCCCGGATTACCAGAACATCTGGTCCCCAGAAGCAGCCTAGTCAGACACATCAAGTCTGGCAGGCAAGCTTATGTGGCTTTTTTCTGGGGACCTATATCCTGGATCCTCTGCTCTGAAATCAGGCAGAGCCTGGCTCCAAGAGGAGCTCAGTGATCCTCATGGGACCCAAGGTATCAATCCTCCCATCAAAAAGTCACCCAGGAATGCTGGACAGACAGGCTGGCAAAGGTGCAGCAAAGAAGGGTGGGGAAAGTTGGGTGACAGCAGGAGACAGAGACAAACGAGTGATTACTGTTCTTCTCCTACAGAGATAAACATGGGCTGCCTTTTGAGGAAGAAAAATGTGCTAGCTATTTGCCACTTAAGGGAGCGTGGTTTCAGCTTTGTGATTGGAGGATGTGTACCTATGGTGACCAGACTGTCTTCTGGCTTGGATGACTGTTATTGTTTGGAGACTTGGTCTATAACAGTCATCATGGGAGCAGATCCAGAGCCAGCACCCAGAAAGGAGCAGAAGGGCACGAGTCTTCAAGACTAGGAGGCCTTAGACAAAGGAGACCACCATCTGAGCAATTCTGGATACAGAGTAAGACCCAACTGCAGTCCAAACTCTCACTCCGAGCATGTGAGATGGCCTCTGTGCCTCTAACTCACGTTAACTTCTTGCTTCCCTGCTTATGCTTGTGACACTGGAGATCAGTAGGGGTGGATAAGCTCCATAGCAGAATAAGCCCGGTTCTGGTAGAAAACTGTTTCTACCACCGCCTCCT